TGGTGCAGCAGGTTAAAGCCCTGGCCTGAAGCGCCGGCATCCCATATGGGCACCGGTTCTAGTCCCAGCTGCTCCTCTTCTGATCCAGCTATCTGCTATAGCCTGGGAAAGCAGTAGAAGATGGCCCAAGTGCTTGGACCCCTGCACCCGCGTGGGAGACCCAGAGGAGGCTCCTGGCTTTGGATCAGCGCAGCTCCGGCTGTTGTGGCCAATTGGGGAGTGGACCATCGGATGGAAGACCTCTCTCTCTCTCTGCCTCTCTTCTCTCTGTGTAACTCTCTGACTTTCGAACAAATAAATACAATCTTTAAAAAAAATAAAGGTTATAAAGAAATATCCCCTTATGTAGAAATTTCTCAATCAAATTGATTCAGATAAGTCAGAAGATCTGAATGAAATTAAAAACCTCAAAGAGAAGTGAACAGCATCCTATAAACATGAGAATGGGATGATCTGAGAACAGGAGAGACTGCTTTCAGATGAGAACCCAAAATTAAAAATGCAATAGAAGAATGGGTTGGACAGCGCATAAAATCAAATCAGTGAATTTGGCTGGAATTCAGAGTTTTTCTTAGGACTCATGGAAAATAGATTAAGTGGGCTATGATGAGGAAAAAGAAAGCAAAAATGGAAGACTGGCCCCAGAGACCCAGTAGAAGCACCACAGGAGTCCCAGAGGGTGAACAGTCAGGAAAGAAAGGCATTCTTCAAGCTCACATAGTGGGAAAACTTCCCAGACTTGAAAAAAAGAGGCGTGTCTTCAAATAAAAAGAATTTCCTGAATACCAAGAAAGGGGAGCCATGGCGGTCATACCCCAGCAAAATTCAAACTTCAGGGGTGAGGATACAAAACTGGCAAGAGTTTGGACAGATAAAACAAGGTACCAACCAAAGGAAAACAAAACGAACAAAAGCAATTTCTTTTCTGCAACATTAAACACTAGAATAGAATGAACAACATCTATAGCATTGTAATGGGATTAAAATGTATCGCAAACATTCTGAGGCTGCCAGTCACCGGCCAGACCTTTTCCTCGAACACTGTGACGGTGTCTCACAGGCACTCGGCAGCCAGCTGCAGGCCTCAGCACCTGCCCACTTCCTCACAAACACTGCCGCTAAAGCAGAGTCGGGAAGGCGTGCCCACCATCAGCTCCCCGAGCTGCAGAGAGGAGGCTCACAGCCACGGCTCAAACCCCAGCTCTGTGGCTGTCTAAGGCTGGTTGGCCAGGACTCAGGACCGGCAGGCACTGCCAACCACACCCATACGGGCCTTCTTGAGGTTGGTTTGTTTTAGCTTGGGAGGCTGAGAGAGAGAGAGAGAGAGAGAGAGAGAGAGGGAGAGAGAGAGAGAAATCTTATGCACGGGTTCCCTCCCCAAATGCCCAGAAGGCTGGTGCTAGGCCTGGACCAGAACCAGGAACTCAATGCAGGTCTCCTACGTGGATGGCAGGGACCCAGCTACTTGAGCCATTACTGCTGCCTCCCTGGGTCCGCATTTAAAAAGAACCCGATTCCTGCTAATATGCTGGGAAGTCAGGAGCTGGAATCAGGAATCGAATCCAGGAACTCCGACATGCAACGCAAGTGTCTTAACCCTAAACACTGGCTCCTCGAGAATTCTAAGTAAAGAGGACAGAGTACTACCAGCTACCGAAGCTTAGTGATCGTGACACAAAGTTGAGCCTGTAGGCAAAAGCAGCCAAACAGGCTGGTGAAGAAGAGCAGGGAGACCTGGAAGAGCGAGGACAAGGGAGCAGGTGGCTCCTGGGTCCCGGAAGGCGCTCTGGAGCCAGTGAGTTCCCATCCAGTTTCTCAAGAGGCCGGCAGGTGCTGTGTCCTTGGGCCCATCAGATTCCCTCACTCTCCTTGACTCAGGTCAGTCCCGTTCCCCCTTTTTATCCTGCAGCTGGCAAGGCTGTGGGAGGTGTCTGCCTCCTCCACCTGGAAAGCTAAACCAGTGCTTCATTTGACAAAGCAGTTCCATTTAGGAATTTATTATAAAGAAACAGCTTTTGTGTTCACATAACTGTAGCTACAAGGATATTTGTCACTCTGTCTGTAGTTTTGAATATTAGCGAAGTATCTAAATATATAGCAATTGGGAACTAGGTTAATAAATTATGATACATTCACTTTAAAAGGAGACCAGGCAGTTATGTAAAATGATACCATCCATAGTTAATATTACCTATGTAAGATGGTAAATGAAAAAGTTTATAGAACAGTATGTGTGCTATAATTCCATTTTGCCAAAAATATTTTTTATTTGTGTGAAAATGCTAACAGTCATGTGTCTGGGTTGTAGAAATAGGAGTTGTGTATGTTCTCTTTGTTTATCTGTATCTTCCACAATTTTTCCCACAATTATCATTTATTACTCCTGTACTAAGAATAAAGAATGAACTCTGCGTTCCCACAGAACTTTATAGTCCGACGACAGGAGTCGGGGAGTTGACCTGTAACTCATCTGTTTAAGGGTGGGCCTTCGTTTGGGGCAGGGCTGGTCTTCAGTCCATTTCGTGCCGCAGTGCCTGGGACTGGCCCTGAGAAGCCCTCCAGTTATCTGTTCACCAAAGCCTTGCTTCAGCGCTGGAGTCCAGCAGAGCCCTCTCTGTCCTTTCATACAGCAGCTCCAGGGCAGCCGTGTGATAACCACAACCAGCCAGGACTCACCTGCTGGTATTTCCACCCTCACTACGAAGACTGGCTAGGCCTGTGCATCTGCCCCCTCCACCTCTTCTCGCTGATCTCCTCGGAGGTCAGTAAAACCACCCCACAGTCACGACGCCTCATTGCCATCCACCCAGCTGATAGCTGAAGTCCCAGTGTGCACTCTGGACAGTCCACACCAAAGCAGAATTCACGGTCGTTTTTTCTGCTCATCCCCCAACTCAATCTGCTTGGCGTACCATTCTTACCCCTGAAAACATTACTATCTCCCATCTAGTTACTCAAGCCAGAAACAGGAAAACCATGTAAGATGTTTCCCTCTCTCTAGCCTCATAAACAAATCTCTCACAAATCCTGTGGCTTCCATAGCCCCTAAAAGCCACCAGTCTGTCCCTTCTCTCTGCCCCCACTGCAACTCTCTTAGCTCAAGTCCTTACGCTATCTCATCAGACACGCTGCAAATGTCTTCCTTCCACCAGGGCTACAAATTGCCACCTGCAGGATCTCCCTAAAATACTGCTGCACTCAGACTCTTGCAGAGGACGACCATGACACGTGGAATAAAGTCCAGAAGTCTCAGTATGCCCTGTGTGAGCGCCTTCATTGCTCCGGGGACCCATATTCCATCACTCGCCAAAACACAAATGGGCCACCAACCAGGACAGGCTCACTGCTATCTTGCTTTAGTCTCCGTGCCTTGCTTGTGGTCCCCTCAGCCTTTGATGTCCTTTCGCTTTCTCTTCTGAAACGCCTTCCCAGAACTGGAGCGTCCCCCAGGCTAATTAGGTGACCCCTGTGCTGTGAACTCAGAGCCCTGGGCTTGCTCCAGTGGCCACCGGCCGCAGCCACTATGCTGTTGCTTAGCTGGTGTCTCTCTCAGAGGCCTGCAGCCTTCCTCAGATCCAAGTCTGTGTCTGAGAAGTGAGGCGTGAGTGCTGCCTAGTTCCTGACGTGGCCTCTGGCATGCAGCAGGTGAATTAATGACTTCTTACGGTTCCTAACTAGACCATAAGTTCCTCTGTACTATTAGTGGCTGTTAAGTAGCCCACAGGGCCCAGCACCCCAACACAGAGTCAGCTGGTGAATCAGAACCTCTCAGAGCTGCAGGAGCTGGTGATCCATCAGAACCAGGGCTACGGAGCATAAAACCCATGGCGACATCTGGGTCAATGCCTTGATGGCATCAGAGTTTTCTTCTTGCCCTTTGAGTTTACCAGGAAAAGTAGGAGAGTGGCTCTAGTCCCTTTGGCTCCCTCCTCTCTGTCCTCTCCAGTTTCATCGGTATCACTTGATTGGGCTGGGGTGAGGCACGCGACCTACAACATCTGGGATCCTATGGCATCAGGAAAGGCCAATGTGGACTTCCAAACCAGGAGTGGTACCAGCACCCCAACATGGGCTGCAAAGTCAGCAGCCCTCCTGGGTCCTCGCTGTCACAGAGAAAACTGTCACTGACTGTGCCTGCTCACCAGCACACGACTGCGGTGGCCCGGAGAGAAACCCGCCTTTTAGAGTCTTCCGGGAACTCCTCATTGTTCAGTTCGTAACATATGGCAGGGAGAAGGTAAAAGGAAGTAGAGGGAGATGAAGCAGCAAAGACAGATTATGAGAGATGGAAAATAGTTAATAATAGTAATTACATTAGTGATAGTATGAATTATTCATATTTAGTTAATAGTCATTATATTAGCAATGATAGTAACAGTTAGGAGTTAATGGGCTAATGATGATTACATTGAATGTTGTAATAATAATAGATAGAAGAATAATTCTATGCTAACAGATCAGTCTGAGAAGAGGTGAAATATAGAACTCTAAGTGGTATGAATGTGTTCACCAAAAAAAGAGTATGAGAACCATGGATGTGGAAAATTACTGGAGGACAAATTGGGCCAGCCAACAAAGGAAGGCTTTCCGTGGAAGTGCAATCCAATGTCACTTCCTATAGGGAGTCTTGCTGGATACACAGATGCTTCCGGAGTGTTCCCGGATGCTACGGCGCCTGACGAAGACACGGCCACACCACTTCTCGGCCCCGATACCCTCTGCGTCTGGAGTGCGACGGTAGCACCAGACGGCTGACCTGACTCCCAGGAAACGGAAGGTCGCTGCGCGTCCTCTGCCTGCAAGGGGACTCCTACAGAACTGTGGAAGACACACAGGCCTGCAAGATCGCATTTCTTGGGCCCTGAAACAGACAACCAGAGGAACAGCACAAGGTGTTTCTGCTGCGTTGAAACTGTGATCAGCATTTGCGAGCCCCAGATCTCCTCATCTTCCTGTGGTGACCAGGAACCCCGAGTGCAGGGGGAGGTCTGATGTGGTGACCAGGAACCCCGAGTGCAGGGGGAGGTCTGAGATCTCATCTTCCTGTGGTGACCAGGAACCCCGAGTGCAGGGGGAGGTCTGATGTGGTGACCAGGAACCCCGAGTGCAGGGGGAGGTCTGATGTGGTGACCAGGAACCCTGAGTGCAGGGGGAGGTCTGATGTGGTGACCAGGAACCCCGAGTGCAGGGGGAGGTCTGATGTGGTGACCAGGAACCCCGAGTGCAGGGGGAGGTCTGATGTGGTGACCAGGAACCCCGAGTGCAGGGGGAGGGAGGTCTGAGATCTCATCTTCCTGTGGTGACCAGGAACCCCGAGTGCAGGGGGAGGTCTGATGTGGTGACCAGGAACCCCGAGTGCAGGGGGAGGGAGGTCTGAGATCTCATCTTCCTGTGGTGACCAGGAACCCCGAGTGCAGGGGGAGGGAGGTCTGAGATCTCATCTTCCTGTGGTGACCAGGAACCCCGAGTGCAGGGGGAGGTCTGATGTGGTGACCAGGAACCCCGAGTGCAGGGGGAGGGAGGTCTGTGCAGAGCACACACTTGCACGTGTGCATGCACTCACCTCTCTGTGAGTCACGTGTACATGTGTGCAAGCCGGAGCATAACTTTGAGATCAAGATCACGTCTGGAAATGAAGGTGCACACTTTTAACTCAACATCTCATCCTGCAGAAGTTCCTCTAAGGCTGATGGAAAAGTTTGCCTCATGTGGCTTTACAGAAACACAGCTTGATTTCCTGAATCCTATGCCAACCCCTCCAGACACACACACACACACACGCACACACACTTCCTTATCTCCACTCACTCCTCAGGGTCAGCTCCCCCAGAAGAACTGTCCTGGTATCCCTGAGCTCAGGCATGTGCCCCTAGCCCTTGTCTTGGGAACTCCTCAGGTGTCTCCTTTCATCCTGCTGCAAGGACACATCCCGTCTACCTTGGACAGAAACCTCACAGCCGGGTCTTTGATGTCAGAGCCACTCTCGTGTCACGCAAAACTCCCAACTTAAAACAGAGACTCAGAACACACTAGCTGGATGCAGCCTTGGAAACAAACACTTGCCTATGAGAGCGCAGATAGAAGTCAGAGACTTAGGCTATCAAGAGATTGATTTTATTTTATTGTTGTGTCCAATTCAAAAATGATATGCCTAAAAAGACTTTTGATAATGTGTGGTCCATGAAACAGAAATTTTGTATTTTTCATACTTCTTCAAGATTCATTAGCTAGAAAACAACCAATGGTGCTGTAGTCAGCCTGTTAAGGGAGGATGGTAGAGTTTTCAGACCAAGAAGATCTGACTTATGCCTGTGAGCCTCGGCCCATGACAGCCATCAGAAAGCTTAAGTACTGTCAGGTACAGCGCACAGTGTCACACGGCAAGTGCACATCCCGTACTGTCAGCAAGTGCTGGACAAGCTAAAATACTCTATCACCTTTCTATCATCTATCATCCATCTATCCTTTATCTAACTGTCAATCATCCACCTCTCACCTGTCTATCATCTAGGACTTGCCCCCTTTCCATCAGATGGAAGGTAATCCGGGGAAATATGAAGTAAACAGAACACGGGAGGAGTTCTGCTCAGTTCTTCTAATGGATAATTTTTGAGAAGTTGTCATTATTTTTTCTAGAAATACAGTGTTCATGCGTGCACAGACACACACACACGCGCACAGAGGCTGTGCAACACAAATATGGCCATTTCCTAGTCACACCCTACGTTATTATTTGAGGTCTTAAACCTTACCTAGGAATTGCTTAAAACCAGGATTTACAGAAGTGGTCAATTTTCTTTTGTCTTTTAGGAAAAGGACACCACAAATATAAACAAATTCTGTCTCTAGTAGAGCAGGAAGAAGAAACAGGAGAGATTTCTCAGAGTTCAGTTTCTTGTTCCATTTTTTAAAAAGATTTATTTATTTGTTTATTTGAAATGCAGGGCTAGAGAGTGCAGCAGAGGGAGAGGAAGAGGGAGAGGGGGAGGGAGGGGGCAGGGAGAGGGCGAGGGCGAGGGAGAGGGCGAGGGAGGGGGAGGGAGGGGGGAGGGAGAAGGGGAGGGCAAGGGAGGGAAGGAGGGAGGGAAGGGGAGAGAAGGGGGAAGAAGGGGGAGGGACGGAGGGAGGGAGGGAGGGGGGGAGAGGGGGAGAGAGAGAGAGAGAGAGAGAGAGAGAGAGAGAAAGAAACATGTTCCATCTACTGGTTCATTTTCAAAACTGCCACCACAGCGAGGGCTGGGCCAGGCTGAAGCCAGGAGCCAGCAACTCCATCTGAGTCTCCCACGTGGGCCATCTTCTGCTGCTTTCCCAGGTGCATTAGCAGGGAGCTGGACTGAGAGTGGAGCAGTCGGCTCTTGAACAATCACGGATAAGGGATGCTGGTACTGCAGGTGGTAGATGTACCAGCTACTCCAGAACACCAGCCCCTCTCTTTCTATTTAAAATAGGTGGTAAATAGAAAAGAAATGAAAGAGCAATAGATTGAAAAACGAAGGAGGAAGTGAAATACCTAAGAAAGGGCAGAATGTGACACCCAGAATGTGGCCCGGCCCAGCCAGGTTTCTGCCTGCTGCTCAGGGTAGAAGGTGGCGTGCAGCGCGAGAACCAGTGGATCAGAATCCATTCAATGCTGAGTTTCTGGGGGTACATTATCCACTCTACCACTACTGGTAACCAGCTGTAGCAGGTGCTTAGCTGGCAGACAGGCTCTCCAGTGCCCCAACCACAGCCATCCTGGCTCCACCTGGGCTCCTCCCCACTGCCATAACCACTTGGATCAGCTAAGGAGCTGAGGGAGAAGAGTGCAGAATCAGTGCTCCCACTTCCTCTGGCTCCTCCCACCCCTGCCACCGCCTGATCATTCACAGATAGACTCTGATGTCCGGAAAAGACCTTTGACTCCTCGTGCCCAGAGGGCTAAATCCAGGCTCTCACTCACAGGCGCCCTGTGGGTCAATGGCCACCAGCTGTAAGATTTCTAAGAGAAATGTGCCTGCCAAACTTTACTCTGGGACAGCCAAGGTTCAGAGTGACAGCTGCACCACATCTGCACATACTTGAAGTGGTTCAGTCTCACCAGTCATGGCGACACATGAAACATGCTCACTACCAGAGATGTTCACAGACTTTTTAAAAGTTCAAATGATTGCAAAGTTCTCATTAAAATTCTCAAAAAACCAAGCAAATTAACCAAATTGTATGGACGTTTTCTCAACATTCCATTTAGTTTCTAATTACCCGATGGGCTGTGATGGCCACGCTGGAGCTATTTCACAGGCCCGTGTCACTGTGGCTGACACAGATACCCAACACTCTGTCCTCCAGCAAAAAATCGTTTTGAAAATAAAAGTTGGGACAGATTACAAGAGCAAGCCTTCGAAGTCTCTGCCTTAGTCATTTAAACATTCTTTTTAAAAATAGCTACAGCAATTAGACCGTGTGTATGCAGCAACTGCAGCACACCATTTTTTAGTTCCGGGAGCATGGAAACCCTCTAAGCTGTTAATCTTATGTTTTCTCATTTCTGCCACGGCCTCTCTGTAATTTCAACACGGTTTCTCTATATGTTTGCACAGGCATATGCATTTCTTCATTTTCCCTGAATTTTTGACACAACACTGTCTGCCCCCAACGCTCAACCTCAGAAAGCAGAGTATTATAAACATTTCAAAGATTTGACACGAAGCCAATAATACAAAATAACAAAAAGATGAGCAGGAGTGAAAAAAGGCAAACACAATAATAACACAGACAAGCATATTGCAATAGCAACTTGCACCTAATTATGATAAAGGCACAAATGAACTGTGTAATGCAAATGCTTCAAACCAAATATGAGGGAAAGCTGCAAATGGGCTTCTACTGAATGCAAAAGACTGAACTTTCCCCAGCACTGGGCCCTTATAATTGCTCCTTATCTTCTTTCAGCATCTGGAATAGAAACTTCTATTTTCATAGCAGAAGTAAGAGACTTCTAGAAAAACAGGCATTGTCAAGGAAGGGGGTGTGGCTGAATGGAAGAACAGTCCCAGGAGTGCACTCACCAGGTGTGTCGTGTGGGGCCCATCGGTCACCTCTGACTCTGGCTGGGAGATCAGTGCAACAAAGATGCAGGGAAGTGTTTGTGCCCGTGTGCATGCGTGGGAGGGTGGAGGCGGATCAAAGAGTGAGGACAGCATCTGCCTCACCCTCCGGGAGGTATCTTATTTTGTTCTACCTGGAGACAACAAGAACAGATGAATACAAAGAAGCCACTGGTGACTTTGCTCAGGGCGGTTTAGCAATGGCGGGATCCTGGAGGGGAAGGACAGCAAGGCCGGGCAGGAGAGAAAGGTCAGAGGAGACACTGAGCACCCGAGGCAGCCAGAGACCCGAGCCGTGGAGAACCGCACTTGCCCGAGCCTCAGCTCCAGGCGCTTCCGCCCCGGTGACTCGAGGCCTTTATGCCAGGCTCTCCCACATCCCCAGCCCTCACTCAGGCAACACTTCCTCATCTCCACCATTCCCCCTGTCACCACATCCCCCTTAACTGCAGACTCTCGTTCTGCAAGGGGAGGGGGGAGCGGAATCCAAGCACAGAGGAGCACCTTCCAGGGTCAGCCCGGATTCTCAGCGGTGTCCTTGTGCTCTCACATGGACAGGGCCACTCGCGTGCAGGAAGAACAGGAGGTGGAGTGGAAAGGCCTCGGGGCTTTGGCTAGAGATTAAAACCATTTTTCAAACAAGTCACTGTGTAAATAAAGCAGTCGGGTGTTCTTATCCACCCAGCTGCCTGTCCCTTAGCTCCCTGTTCCCTTCCTTCCACAAGACACCTGGAACCTGCACGCCAGGCCTGCGCTAGTCTCTGTGGGAGAAGGATGAGGAGCAGGTGCAGGCAGTGCACTCTGCAGGCACCTGGGACAGAAGAGCCCGTGTGGGCCCCCAGTCAAGCCTGCTTGGGGAAGCACTGTCTCTGGTGGGCCTCCCTATCTTGGGCCCTTGGAAGCCTTACTGGAGACGTCCTCACACCTTCCCTGCACAGTCACCACAGCCTCCCACTGGCCTTGGTCTCACTGAAGCCCCTCTAAGGAGCACAGTACTCTGTGGAATACTGGAGTGGCACCTGGTATTTGTACAAAAACAATGTACCCGTCGGCATCTGATAGAGGTTTTGATGTCAAGTAAGTTTAGGAATCTTCCCTCTTCCCGGGTCCACAACACCTGCATGAGCAAATGAGAATGAATTCTGGAAGAAATAAAGCCAGTGTCCCTTCCTGAGAAACACAATGTGGACACTGACCGCCCAGCCCTCCTCCACCTCTCTGACAGCAGCTGTCATCACGTGGCTCCTGCCACGAGGTCACAGAATACACACAGCTCCACTCCAGGCCTCTGCTGTCACACCCTCTGTTCTAAGTGAACCGGACCATGGCCCTGTGAAGTCACCCACCTGAACCCTTTACTGGAATACTCTGGGCCAATCCCAGCCTCTGCTTTTCCCCATCTTGCAAGGACCCCCTTCAATGTCTCCACAGTAAG